TCTACAAGTCAGTATTTGACAACTTAAGCCACAAGACTGTATCTTTCTGCAGTTCCCTGCTCAGGTTTCATTCCTTCTCTGGGCACCCTGAAGTGCCAGGGTGCTTTCTGCTCTTCAACCTCTGCAAAGGATGCCCTGTAAAGGATACTGAGAATGCTCAGAAAAGCATCTACTGAACATGAGGTTGTAACTTCATTCTGTGTGGGCAGAGCTGCACAGGGAAAGGTGCTTCCCTATCAGTGTACGGAGTCTTTCTTGCACGTGCTCTTCAAGTGTATCAAGACCTTGCCCGAAGGCAAGGAGTGTGTCAAACAGTGGGACAACTGTTTATCTCCAACTGAACAGCAAAAATTCTTATTTCTTGTTTTTGTCAGTAATAGCTAAGGCACAGCAAATTTCACAGCAAATGCCTAACCTTAGGAAAACATACAAAAAACCTGAAAACAGGGTCTAATAGAAAGTATGAAACAGTTCTTGCTCATCCAGCTGGCACAGGAAGCTTTGCTAATCTGTATACACTCAGTCCTCAAAACAAACTTTGTTTAAAAAGCAACATCTAGGTGCAAAAAAAATAAAACCAGTTAATGAACACCATCATTATAGTGCCAAGACAACTTTAATTCAGTAAATATGAGTTACATACAGTCTTCACATAATCATTTACTTTACCAATAACTGTCAAAAAGAGACTGACCTGGGTCTGGAACAGCACAGCCTATTCTTCTGCTTCTGCCTTGGAAAGGGGTTTCATGCTACCTGTCTGGGGTGGGCCCTAAGCAATAAGGATATGTTATCCCTGGGCCCTAAGCAATAAGGATATTATCTTCCTGGTCTAACTTTATACTCCAGCAGTGTGAGTTGCAATGGCAGGAGCGCTACGTTGAGGCAGGTCACAGAAATTCATGCCAACCCTTTGATAAAGATGAGTGAGGGATCACACAGACCTCTGGTCCCAAAGGATGGTTGTAAACCACCAGATTATCTTCAGAAAGGTAAATCAATGGCAAAACAGCTCATGTCTAGTAAAGGAAAAAATTGGCCAGAGAGAGACATACGGCAATGGGAGGACACAGCCTATTGAGATTCTTTTTCCACAGCAAATTTTTAAGCGACAGAATACATGATCCTTAGCAAGTGAAACACCTCCATATCTGGGCAATAAATGCTTCTAAGAATTCAGCGTAGGAAAACAAGAAGGCATACTCAGGAGCCACTTGCAACCACTACTCACAGGAGTAAAGCACTATTAGTCACAGGTCAGCAGAAAAATCAAGCTCGGAAAGCATCTTTTAACTTCTATTTCTAACTTGCATTTAGGCTGAATGTAAATAAGCAGTAGGGAACTGATATACCAGGTGAACACCCTGAGATGCTGGAGCTGGCTACTTTCTAGAAAAAGGGGTGCAACTTTATAAGTAATGCTTTTTAATTTGGGGGGAAACACAATAGGCTCAGTTTATTTTGCTTCCTCCATCCTTTATACAGACTTGTCCTGCCAATAATGCAGCTGCCAGCTAACTGTCTGAATGAAGGCTTTGTTAGAAAAGGTTATTTCACTGCTGGCTCCTGAATGTGTTTGATAATAGTTTACCTTAACACTGAATCCTCCCATTGCTCACCACTAGTGAGCAGCACGGAAGCAGAGTCAGACATTTCCAAGGAGGCACTCAAGTCCTCTTTCTTTCTACACAAAAACTTAAAAATTTGCTTAATGAAAGAGAAAACAATTACCTCCCATTTCCAGTATAGGCATAAGGGGTTTCACTGTTAACACAGCACACACTGCCTAGAAGGGCAAAGTAAATCCACAGCCAAATCAGCACAAACTGTGTGTAAAGTGAAGAACTTGGTCTTACACTGAAAGGTTGAGTCTCAAAAACTCACCCCACAGCTGGACTGTTCTGGAAGTACACAGACACACTTGGTGTGAGATATACACACCTGCCATTAATTGCTCACAGAATTAAATAGGCAATGGGTTTTGGTTTAATGGAGATCCTTAACATAAATGAAACCACAACACCCTAGAGATCACTGTATCCTAATGCTCAGAAATATTTTGGCATTATGAAGACACCACATCTATGGGAAAAGTATTGGTTTGATATTATCAAAAAGAAAACAGCAGAAGACTCAATACTAAAGTGTTCTGAAAAAAAGAAGGGACAGCTAAAACATGATTGCCTCATTGTAGAAAATCTTGACATGAAAAGCTCTTTCCTAAACTTCCTAAATTCAGCCACGGGGAGACAGAAGGGAAAAGAGACATGCCTTCATCATCCTGCTGTCCATATTACTTTTTCAATGTAATTCAAGAATGCAGTGGTAGCATAATATCAGAGCAAAATCATTTAATCTTAATTTTATCTCTCCTGGCCCATGTCACAGCTGACAGATGTTTGAATAAAAGTTCATTCTCCTTTGTGGCTTTGCCTCAGCTCCAGTGTAATTGCATTAAGAAATCATAATCCCCTGTTTCCAATACCACCATCGCCCACAAGGCAAACTCTTAAATAAACCCAACAGCACACAGAGCAATTTACAGATTAGGAATCAAAATTCTCTTGCAGCCCAGTGCTGATCGTCACAAAAGCTGCCAAAAAGACAAGGCATTCAAGAATTCCAGAACTCAAGGAATTCAAGAAATTCAAGATTTCTAACAGGAAGAGCATCATTTGAATATTGTATATATATATATATTGTATATCATTATGTATATTGTGCCATAACTGCACTCTGCATTAGTTCCAGATTTTAACAGAATGAAGGCAGTTCAAAACAATGGACATTTGAAGATATATTCAAAGGTTTTCAAAGAAGCCTAATTCTGAGTCACTCTGATGTAAAATCTGGACTTAAGCCTTCTACCTTGCAAGTGCATACAGGCTTCTGAATTACAATTCCTCCAAACTTGAGGCATAAATAATACTGTGTAGGTAATACTCTCCCTGTTGAAAACTCCAAAAACACAGCTTGGGTTTTTCTGGCACCTGAAGCTTCCCTCACCTTTACTGCCATAATATCCTTCCCCTAGCTCTCCAATTTACCTACCCAAGCCCTTTGCAAAAAATATTTAGGCATCCTAATGCCTCTAGAAATTGAGCCCCCACTCTTTCTTATTTCCTGGGGATTCCTGTTGACATTCTCATGACTGGACAGCCCTCAAGCCTGAGGTCTCTGCCCCTGCCAAGGGAGCAGTAACGACAGGCACATCTGGACAGAGTTTTCATCCACACCAACACCAGATTTTCCTCACGTTGCATGCAGCAACTAACTTCAGTTGAGATCTACTCCTGAAGAAGATGCAGACAGCATTTAGGAAAGTATTGTCAACAGAGGTAATGAAATCAAGTCAAAATTAATTAAGATGCAACTGTTTAGCAACAGGAGGTGGGGGAGGACAAGTAAATTCTTTAGATCAGGTGCTAGGAAACAGACTCCAAATTTAGAAATCCAGACTTGTTTTCCCCTACATCTGCTTGTTCTGGATTATGTCATTCTTAAACATGCTTCAGGGTCGAACAAACAGCTGCTTTTGATGTGGCCCAGGCTACAGAGGTGGTTATATGGAATGCCCACTCTGCCTCTGGACTGCTGCCGAGGTACCCTCCTCTTCTTCAGTCTAGCTCAAGTTGTTAAGCAGGAAAAATCCTCAGTTAAGCGAACGAGGAACCTGCTCAGGCAGCAGCATTTGGACAGCACCCCAAGCAGAAGGGCATGTGCTTGCTCTTAACCTGCCGCACCGCGCTCTGGCG